CTGGGTTGCAGGGTTGGTCCCTGGCCACAGTCAGGGTGCATGCAGGAGACAACCAATTGATATGTCTCTTTCACATCAATGTGTCTCTCTCACATTAGTGTTTCTCTCTCTCTCTCTCTCCCCCCTCCACTCTCTCGAAAAATCAATGGAAAAAATATCCTCAGGTGACATATATNCTCTTTCACATCAATGTGTCTCTCTCACATCAGTGTTTCTCTCTCTCTCTCTCTCCCCTCCACTCTCTCGAAAAATCAATGGAAAAAATATCCTCAGGTGACTTATATAAAAAACATATATAAAAAAAACTCCTTCAGTACCAGAAGTTTCTCTTTTAGCAGCATTTTAATCTTACTTTTCTTTCACTCATTAAGCTTACTACCGTCCTTTCTCCTTTCCTTTTCTGGTATTTTTAAAGACATTCTATTTTATTTAATTCTTTTTTGCTCTTTTTTCTTGCCTCTCATTGATTTTCTTTCTCATAACCCTGACTCACACATAACATTATACCTCTGGGTTTTTTTGTTTTGCCTTTAAAAAAATTTTTTCCAACAGTGTGTCCTAGCAAATTCCCTTCCAGCCAGAAATGTCTATTTTTTATAAATCCTTTGGCTCTACTCTGTTCTTTGAGAGAGTTCTACATATCATATGTTCACACGTGCAATCTCTTGGATACCTTTTCTTCCTGTTGTAAAGAAATGTGCTGCTGTTTTCAGATAGANGTTCTACATATCATATGTTCACACGTGCAATCTCTTGGATACCTTTTCTTTTCTTCCTGTTGTAAAGAAATGTGCTGCTGTTTTCAGATAGAATGAATTTCAGCCTTATCTTGCCCTTTACATCTGCCACCTTTCATCTTTCTTGCATACGAATCATATCTTGCACAACAATTCACTGAGCTTACTCCCTTTGTAAAGTAAAGTACAAGTGGCCAAACTACAATAATTAAGTAACCTTTGATCCTGTTTTTGGCCGTCTGATTATAAATATTTGGTTCATGCATCACTTCTTTATTTTTAGTCCTTTCCCTTTGCCCAACTTTATAGTTCAAATTTTGTTCTAAAACCTTTTTTTAATGTTTCTTTATCTTTTGTTGAGAATATTACAAATGTCCCCTTTTTATTCCCACCGATCCCCACCCCACATCCATCCCTACCCCCCCCCAGGCTTTCCCCAGACCAATGTCTGTGTCCCTGGGTTATGCTTATAAACATAAAAGTTCTTTGATTAATCTCTCCCCACCCTTCTCCCCCTCTCCCCTCCTTCCCTCTGAGATTCCTGTTTGTTCCATGCTTCTGTGTCTCTGGATCCCCTTTGTTCATCAGTTTATTTTGTTTATTATATTCCACATATAAGTGAGATCATGTGGTACTTGTCTTTCTCTGACTGGCTTATTTCACTTAGCATAATACTTTCTAGTTCCCTCCATGCTGTCCCAAAGGCTAAAAGGTCCTTCTTCTTTACAGCTGCATAGTATTCCATAGTGTGAATGTGCCACAGCTTTTTACCCACTCATCTACTGATGTGCACTTGGGCTGTTTCCAGATCTTAGCTATTGTAAATTGTGCTGCTATGAACATAGGGGTGCATAAGTTCTTTGTGATTGATGTTTCCGGTTCCTTAGGATATATTCCTAGAAGTGGGATCACTGGGTCAAATGGCAGCTCCATTTTTAATCTTTTGAGGGACCCTCCATACTGTTTTCCATAGTGGCTGCACCAGTCTGCATTCCCACCAGCAGTGTACTAGGGTGCCTTTTTCTCCACATTCTTGCCAGCACTTGTAGTTTGTTGATGGAGCCATTCTGACAAGGGTGAAGTGATACCTCATTGCGGTTTTAATTTCCATCTCTCTGATGATTAGCGATGTCGAGCATTTTCTCATGTGTCTCTTGGCCAACCATATGTCCTCTTTGGAGAAGTGTTTATTTAGGTCCTTTGCCCATTTTTTAATTGGATTGTTTGTCTTCCTTTTGTTGAGTTGTAAAAGTTCCCTAAATACGCTTTCTTGAACTAAGTAAGAATGGCTCCCAAACCTTGAGAACTTGAAATCATTTTCGCTCTCAGATTTCCTTGTGGGTTGTGGATAGAGATGTTTCTTCCTAATGCATATCGCAATCCCATATTCAAGGAGGTGGGGGGATGAACAGATTAATTAGTACATGTATGTTCCCAGCAGTCCCATGCTGATGACAACCTTTAGCCAAAGCTGGAGAAAGGGGCTAGGACATAGCAGAGAAGCTAAGGAGATTGACAGAATGAAGAGCTGGCTGAGAAGGAAAGCGGACTTGAAATAAAAGCCAAAGGCGAGGAGGATAGGAACAGGAAGGAAGGGAGAGGCACAGAGAGAGAGAGGGAAAGGCAGTATACAAAAGGCTCCAGAGCATCCTCCCTCATGAGAGAACCAGGCAGAGGAAGAACAGCTTTGAGAGGTTCCCGTGGAGAAGCCACCAGTAGTGGAAGCACAGATGAACAATGCAAAGTCAATAGTTCTGGAAGGATCTTTTCATCACCGTCATTTAAAACAAAAGAAAAAATAAACATATGAGACTACATCAAACTAAAAATCTCCTGCATAGCTAAAAAAAAACCAGCCTCAAAATACAAAAGAACCCCACCATTTGGGAGAACATATTTGCCAAGGATGTATCTGCTAAGGGGCTAATTTCCAAAGTGTACAAAGAACTCACACTACTAAATATATACTATATTCATTTACCAATCATTTGATTAATGATTTTGTCACTGGACAGGGACCAGCCTGGAACAGGCCTGTGTCTGTAGTGTGTGGGTCCTTGACTTCATGCAGGAAAGATTTCACAACACAAGTCCAGGTGATTTTGATAGTATGTTTATTAAAGCTGGAAATAGTGAAACTAAGGAAGGACTTAGGGTAGAAGAAACAACAGGAGAGAACCTAGGCTCTTCTTTGGCTCCCTAGAAACATTATAGGAAAGAAGAGAGCCAAGGCGGGGCTGCTGTTAGCTCACTGGGAAGTGAGAGAAAAAGGGGGCCTTGGAGACAGGATCACGGGGTGAACCTGGGTCAAGCTGCCACTGCCCACCGCTTCCCTTGCTGCAAGTCTCACGGGGACCCTTCGAAATTAGGAACAAATAAAAAGTTCATGCCTGCGAAGGGCCGTGGGTGTGCTGTAGAATGAACCCGCATTGAATCTTTGTCCTGCAGGCTTTTTATCCATTTTTTTTTCTCTGCAGGAGAAAAATCTTAGAGGAGGATTTCAGTGGAATATTCATCAGCATTCTAGGTGCATTTTTAAATATGCTGATGTATTAAAGTGAGTGTATAGGAGAGTTTCAGATAATTCTTTGGTCTGTTTTACTGTTTTACTTTTATCTTAGGTCTGTCTGGCTTTCATGGGTTTTTTTTTTTTATTTGTTCCCCAACTTCCTCTGTCCTTGGGTTTAGCTGGCACAAATGGCACTAAGTGGGTCTTTGCTCTCTATCTGCCCAAGCCAGGGTGATTTAAGCTGTGTATTCTCTGGTTAGGGAGGAGGGTATGAATCGTTTGCTCTCAAGTGTCTTTGGTGGGGGAAGAGAAGGTCTTGTGATTCACAAGCTGGCTGCAAGCTGCCCAAAGTGTTTGGCCTTGTTTAATTTTCTTGTCTTAGTTTCCCCATTCCACTTGCCCAGGGATTTCCTAGCTCCTTACTGTCCTGCTACAGTCTCTCTTCTGTGGATGAGCATCTCAGGGGAGGGTTTCAGTAGAATATTCATCAACTTTCTGGGTGCATTCCTAATATGCTGGTGCACCAAGACGACAATATAGGGAAGCTTGGGATTATGCTTTGGTCGGCTACATTGCTTTACTTTTTATCTTGGGTCTGTCAGCTGGGAGCAACCATGCAGTTAGAAGTGGGAGGTGGGCACTGGGAAGTGTTAAAGGGTCATTTTTTAAATAGGATATAGTCATGATTCTCATACAAATGTAAAATGAAAAAGTGAAGGGAAGAGTGCATTCTCTCACTTTAAGCCAAAAGCTAGAAATAACTAAGCGCAGTGAGGCAAGCTGAGGCAGTTCGAGAGCTAGGCCCCTTGCATCAGTGGGCCAGGCTGCGAGTGGGAAGGAAGAGGTCTTGAAGGAAATGAAAAGTGCTACTCCAGTGAACGCACAACTGATGAGAAGGAGGAACAGCCTCATTGCTGCTATGGAGAAAGTTTTTGGTCTGGGTAGAAGGTTAAACCAGCCACAATATTCCTTAATTCATAGGAAGGCCTTCATTCATTCATTCCCTGAATTCAGAGCGAGGCCCTAAGTCTCTTCAATTCTATAAAGGCTGAGGGAGGTGAGGAAGCTGCAGAAGGAAAGTTTGAAGCTAGCAGAGGTCAGTCCATTAGAAGAAAGAAGCCATCTCCATAAGATAAAAGTTCAAGGTGCAGCAGCAAAAATTTAGAATATTACATGAACTTAGTTAATAAAGCAGCAGCAGAGTTTGAAAGAATTTGCTCTAATTTTGAAAGAGGTTCTACTGTGGGTAAAATACTATCAAATAGCATCTCATGCTGCAGAGAGATCACTCATGAAAGGTAGAGTCGATCAATGCTGCAAACTGCATTGTTGTCTTATTTTTAGAAATTGCCACAGCCACCTCAGCCTTCAGCAGCCACCACCGTGAGCAGTCAGAAGCCATCAACATCCAGGCAAGACCCTCCACCAGCAAAAAGATTCCTCCTCACCGAAAGAAAGCTCAGGTGATGGTTAACATTTTTAACAATAAAGTATTTTTTAATTAAGGCATGTACAATACACTTTTTGCAATAATGCTATTGCACACTTAATAGACTACAATATAGTGTAAACATAACTTTTATATGTGCTGGGAAACCCACAAATTTGCGTGACTCGTTTTATTGCGGTATTAGCTTTATTGCGGTGGTCTGAACTGAGCCTGCAATATCTCCAAGGTATGGCTGTATATGTGAAACACTTTGAAAATATAACCAGGATCGCTGTTATTTTCCCCTATTACTGGATTTTGAAAGTGAAGGCAAATGTTGGAAGTGGGATATTTAATGAAATGAGGCCCTAGAAAGCATTAAAACAAGCAAAACAACTAGACAACCAGTAGACAGCAATTTCTGAGAAAAGGGAATATCTGAAAACTGAATGCTGACATCTCATAATTCTTCAACCCAAATTAAAGATGAAAAAGTGAAGTTGATGATGAGTACAAGTGACTTTCCATACTTCAGGTCTCTGGTGTTTAATTCATATGCTCTGTGGAGCAGCTTCTGAGTCCACTCCGTCTAATTACCTCCCCACGGCACGCACTGGCTTAGGGAAGAGCTCCACTGGCGGCTGCAGGGACACCCTCAGCCCTCAATCAGACGACAGGGTTGGACCTGTGGTTCACAAGAGGGTTCTGCAAGGTGTCTGCCCTGCTGAAGTAGAGAGAACTTTAATCAGCAACTTATTTCACTAAGCACGGGAGGTGCTGGCTTAACTCTTCCTAGGCCTTCAGCACTTTCAATCTCTCTAAGCAGGAAAATCCTGCACTTCTTGGCCTGTTGGGATTGCTGATTCCATTTTAGTCCCCGTATGTTATACGTGATAAATAAAGAGGAATTCACTTTTTTTTCTAGTAAAAGAGGCTTTTATTTCTAGATAAGAAGATCAAAACTTTTAGTAAAAAAAAATATGTAAATTCAGCCTGTTCTCATTACATGCGTTGGGCTTTGTTTTAAGTGAAGGCAGCCAGGAAGAGAAAGTGGCACAGTTCCGCCAGCTCCTAGCAGTAATTCAACTCTGAGGGTAGGAAAAGCACCCTCTTCAGGCAGACGAATGGTAAAAAGGTAGCCCCATTGGACATGGGAGTTGGACACAGGCAACCCTCAGATCAGTTACAAAATAGTGCCGCCTTCTGTGGGCTGTGGGCTCTGGCCTGTCCCCAAGAGCAGAAACAGAATTCAGCCCCACTCCTTCCTTCTCACCCCCTGGCAGAGGCCCAGGCTGCACGTCCCTCTGTGCACAGCAGTCTATGTCTTAGAACTCAACTTTCTTAGAAGACCAAGAATGGGAGATGCAGGGAAGGGTAAGTAAATAATGTTTTTTCTTTCTACCACAACACTATGACTAGCACTAGGGCAAATGATAAATAACAATAATAATGATAATAATAATAATAATAATAATAATAATGCACCCTGAAGAGGAGGGACAGGGGAGGGACTATGTCAGAGGGCCACAGGATGAGTAGAATTCACGGGAAAAACTAGAGAACTGAAAGCTTAGTGAAGGGAGGCAGCTGGAAAAGAGAGGTTGCTCTACGAACAGGTGGGACGACAACTCAGAAGTGATGAAGAGAAGGTCAGATTTCCTGGGACCTAACCACGAAGAGGCGAGCGGCCCCAAAACGTGGCTGGGTCTTCTTCCGTCTAGTCATCCCAGTGCTTAGCGTGGAGCCTGGTTCAACATATTGACTTAATTGGTTGGCTGATTAATTAATCAATATTTAGACGATACCAGATTGATCTAGAGGGTGCAGTGGCACAGCCAAGGCAGCAGGTGACACCATCCCATTGACGCTGCGGCACTCACATCGGCCTGTGACTCAGACCCGAGATTTCAACCAGCAACTGCCAAAGCAGACTAATCACTGCAGCCCCCGGGGAGCAGCCACCGGTGCAGCTCCTGGGTCCCCAGACGCTGGAGCGTCAGCCAGGTTGAGCGGCCGTTAACCAGCAACAGGCGTGAGGGGGAAACAGACACCAGGAGCGGAGGGGCTGGGGGTGGGGTCGCCCCTAAAAGGATGGTAGGAGCTTGTTGACCTCAGGCTCTGAGAACATTGCCCCTCTTTACGCCCTCCTCCTACACCTCGGTTTCATGTATCACCTAATGTTGATGCTACAGCGGCATCCGGGGTACTTCAGGTTGGCAACCTTCAGGACCACAGCAGCATGTCAGCTGCCACTTTGGATTCACCCTAAGTCATCAAAGTAATTATCTGTGTAGAAAGGTAGCAGAATGCTCAGGACCCAGCCCCTCACACGGTTCCAGCTTCCAAATACAGTTTCTGAGCCCAAAACACTATGTCCCCCA